TTTATTACGAAGGATTTCTAATTTCTAAAATTCGGCATCTCCAATTAAATATGGCTAGATAAAATATGGAGTTCGAAGAGTAAAAATAAGCATAATATAAGGTATTTCCCACACTACCACATAGAATCAAAAGGCAAAATGCTGTCATAAATTGTTTTGAAAGTCATATATTAATAACGTAACTTATTAACATACTTCGTTGAAGATTTAAAAGATTAAAATTTTTGCAACTAAAATTTAGTGATGATGAAATAATAAAATTTCTCATAATATTTTACTACATATCTTTAAGTTGAATACCTAAACTTTGATGATGTTTAGCAACAAACTATAAATTTTTTTTTAAGTATATATGCCAATAAGAGATATTTTAAAATTTTCACGTCATTTTTTACTTAGAAAAACTCCAATTCCCCTATAATTCTCTATTTTATTTTTCTCGCTCTCAAACCTTATCTTCAAAAGAAGTTTTTTTCCACTTCCCGACTCACAACTTGAAAAATAGGTCCTCCTTTTCAAGCGGAATGCATTAAACATTAGTCAAAGCTTCTGTCTCTGCACCAAGAGGTGTCATGGCCAGCTGACCCGGAAGTGACTTTGATGGACTTTTCGGACCAACTACATGAACACGGGGATAGGAACACCTCTGAATATGCTATTCTTCGATATCCATTGGAGGGAGAGGGGGAAAATTCTTTTCTCCTTCTCGTCTGAAGCCTAGTTTTTCTCGTTACTAGATACTAAAATCTTGCGAAATATAAATCTTTGAAATATTTTCAAAATGGTTTGGAGATATCTAACATATAATTATTTAATGACTTGAATTACACTTTATATAATCCATATTTATACGTAGGTCTGCCAAATTAGTAGAGATATATCAATTTTCAAAATCATGAAAATAAAAATTACTTGTTTTGAGTGACACCCAACCGGGATTGTGGAAAGTGACTCTGACTACCATGTCGAAAGACTCGGCTTCTAATCTCGGAGAAGGCTTGGATGTTTGTAAATGTATATTGTCTGTGTGGAATTGGGACACTCTAAACATGCGGCGAGCCGAAGTCATCTCGAGAGGTTGGTGGCTGGTGAAGAGATGTGGGAGACCCTCGGATCTGTCTCCCCAGGTGCTTTCTCTTTTTAAAATTGGGAGAGCGGAACTAAGCTAAAGTCGGACTGTCACCTACATGATGCCCAAGACGACAGGATTGTGCTGTAACTCGGGATTGTGCTGACCATTGTCAGAGTTGTGAGCTTGGTAAGAACAGCTTACTTACACTTACTTTCCCAAAGATTTCGGTATTCTTTACCTCACTTTCTTGTCATTTTTTTAATATTATACGGAAAGCTCAGGATGGATTATTTAAGATTGTTTTCAGATCTAATATTATTGAAAAGAAGATATATAGTTCTGTGAATGTAATCAACCTGTTCAGTAGTTTTAATATTGTTTAAAACTATTGAACAGGTTGCCTAAATACTAAATAACAAATGCCTAAATACTAAATAGCGTGAAATTATTCCTTTGCTTAAGAGGCAAAAAGTAGTAAAAAAAGCTACTTACTCCAAAAAGGAGTTTACTGTGCATATACTGTGTCTAGTCATATTTTATATAAAGGGTTCCCAGCCCTATGCCCTCGGGCATCATGGCACCCGCCGATCGTTTAACGTGTGCCCGCCATTGTGCGAGTTAAAGTATTCAGTGAGCAGTTAGGTTAATCTACTACGCCTTGAAATTATTAGTTGTTACGTTATTCTGTTAAGCCAGAAATGCTGAGCTTCTTGTAATCCAAGTTGGATCGTTTGTTAATTTTATGTTTGAGTAAAAGTGTCTTATACACCCTTCTTCTTATTTCTGTTTTTGTTTCACAAGGCTAGAAGATAATTCTTCAATAGTCATTTTTAAAGTCTAATTTGTATTTTTCCAAAGAGACATAGATTTTACAACAGTACCAGACATAAAATACAAAGAGGCAACAAAATGTCGATCTAAATTTATGTCATAAATTTCATACAGAACACAGACAAAAATCTATGATGTGTAGCAGAGATAAATCTATGATAAAACAAAAATGTACGATGTAAAGCAAGTTATTTTTCAAGAAATCTATTTTGAAATCTTGAAGACATTTCCACATTTTTCTGGCCAAAACACTGTCCATGATGATTAGCTTTCTTTATTTGTAATACAAGGAGAAAGTCACAAGCATATAGTAATAAATGCATTAAATGTATATAGTATTCAAACGTTTAATAGGTTATACACAAATACCAATCCACGTTCAGCTCTATTTATGTTGTGTTAAAGGCATGATTATTGATATTATTGGGGACTTACGGGTTCGTAATAGTTTGAATACACACAGGTCCTGTGATAGGTTAATAAAAAAATTTTTATCAAAATAAACCCTTCAAAGTTCTGGAATTTCCGCAGAAATACTCATACGGAAGTTCACAGTATTAGAGACTACAATTAGTACTTACGGTACTTACTACTAAGAACGTTAAACACAGCGAAATTCACGAGTAACTAACAATTCGCAACAACAATAACTATGCAATTGAGCGCATACTGCTTATGGAAATTACTGAAAAGCAATACGAGGATGGAATTGCGATTACAGCTAACCTAGTGGTCAGTTGCATTTACTCAATTTCAATACATGTTGCGGTCATACAGGCACCGGATCACAATGCCGCCAAATTTGGCGACTTTTGGAGATTTCTCGCCAAATTTGGATACAAAATATGTCGCCACAACAGTTACCAGCTTGGCGATATCTCGCCAAATTACCTAGATACCCATTTACTCAATATTAAATGCACTTCCCTCTGTACTCTTTCTTTACCAACATAGCTTTAGGTTTTGCATGTTAGAAAAGATGTACAACGATTTTACTTACATTTCTACTAAAACTACCTAAGTGAAAAATTCGTAACAATATTATGATATTGCTAGACAGCCTTAGATCCAGATTTCAAATCTGATGCATATAAAAGGCCACCGTTGACTAATCAAATGGAGGGCATGGTTGTAAGTCTTACTTTCAGTAATAGAATTCTTTAATCAATAAAATGCTTTCAGAATTATGCATTATTAAATAACACAGCTTTTTGCCAATTTATTATCCCTTACTTTATAAATACTTTTACGAAACTGGAGCATTCGGAGGGAAAACGTGTGTTACATTTCTTTTAAATTAACTAAACTATACCCGCCCTGGCGTCAAAGACAGGCTTCGGTGCAGCCAAATGCATTGAAATTTCAAAATACACTTGAGAAATACTGATTTTTTTATTTTGTTTCAACTTACTATTACTGTCTGAACATTCCGCTTAATACGTCCTTTTTAATCAGTCTCGAGAATTATATACTCTAGTAGTTTCGCCAACTATATCTTTATAAACTTTTATCACATTATTTTCTTAGTTAATAGTATAAGATTGTGGGCCACACAGTCGGTATGGTGGTCAGAGAAGCTGACTGCGATGCCGAAGGACCTGGGTTCGGAGAAGGCATGGTTGTAACTGTTCGTCCCTTCATAGGAAAAGCGATGGTAGCCCACTTATTACGTGCCTCTATAATAAAAAGGCCACCCCATCCAGCTTTGTATAGATTAATGGACTTGGTTACATTTGTAATTGTTCACAATCTGCCATTGGAAAAAAATATAAGATTGTAAACTAATATAATTCTTCAATAATGTCACATACCACCCCAAAAAATGCACATCATCTTATTTCTGTTATGTTTTACATTTGTGTTTTTTCTTAACTTCCATAATTGAAGGTGAACACGTTACGGCATTAAGGTTTTACAAACTAAATGTTACTTAATTTACTTCGTTTTTTTCTGCCTTTTTCCTCCAAGAGGGTTGCTTATTCCATAATTTATATATATTTTAAGTGGCAAGTTGTTTTACTGTAAAGTGACAGAAAAAATTACAAGTAAGTGTTTGAGAGTTTAGCTCTCGGTCCGTCTTGTCAATTAAGACAGCATGTTGACGTCGCTAATGCTTTTCTTGCAGGGAATACTTAAATTGAGGTTAGATCTTGTTTCGGTAAGTGTGTGTTAAGATTTCTGCAACGGTCTAGGTAAAGCTTATAATCTCTTCCCAGGTTAGATTCAAGTTGTTCAACTGATAGAAATTGTGAAGGTGTAGCTTGTATTGGATATTTCGCCAACTGCCAAAAGTTAACATGGAAATCAAGACCCACAGTGCTAGCCTAACACAATTCTTGGCAGATGACGGCAATTCCCCGTATTTTTACCTCAAACAGATTCAGACTTAGGTATACTCCCTTCTGCGAGTGCGGAGAGAAAGGCGACATGAACCATTATTACTTTCTTTGTAGTAATACAAGAACCTGGCATTTAAAGAACCCAGCTGACTTTGCCTGGGCAATGTGGACGACTAACACATTCAAAAATAGAGCAGTCCTTGGTAAAATCGAAAACATCTCAAGACACTGCGTGAGCAGAAACCACAGTTTATAATATTATGTTTGAAATTATCAGAATTTAAAGCAAATAATCAGGATAATGCTTGGTGTCTGCAGTTATCAAGCTAAATAATCCTCTAATTACCGGTAAGTTTATCATAGAATAGTAAGACTGTCGGAAACCATCACAGAGGTGTTCTCACTCACTAGGTCCAGGTTAATTGGTAAATTTATATTCGCATATTTTAATTTAATAACTCACGAGTGGTGAGGTAGAATAAACTTTAAGTGTTTTAGTTCTCTGTCTGTATGTTTTATGGTTAGACATTCTTCTGCAGGGAATAATTTACCGCACGTGATAAACGTAATACCTAATTTTTTATGGAATTTGACGTAGTTAATTTTGTTGGATCCCATAACCAGGCGTTACAGAGTATTTGTTATGAAATCTAAACTCTTATGTTGTGCATTAAGATTATGGATACGACAGAATGAAGAGTTCTTCGGCAGTTGTTCACAGTTGAGGCAAATAATTTAGAAGAACTTATCTCCATTAGAGGGGATAAAACAGAACTTAAAGCAAGATTTGAAGCATTAAAAATAAAATATGAAAGGATTAATGCCCTAAATTCCAATCATTTAGAAGAACTTCTGAAAGATAAAAATGTGACAGAAGATAAGGTGGAAGAAGAAAGGGCGAAATGCGGTGAGTACGAATTAAGATTTCTTAAAATTAAAGAAACAATTTTTACTGAAACAGTACTCTCAGATGTTGAAGCTATATCTCAGACTGAGTTCAAAACTCAGATAAAATTACCTAAGATAGAATTAACAAAATTTGATGGAGATTTAAAAAACTGGATTCGTTACTGGGGACAGTTTACTAAAATTCATAATGATCATTCTTTATCAGATGAAGATAAATTTGAATATTTGAGACTTAGTATGGAACCTGGGTCATCAGCACAAAAATTAATCGAAGGTTTCCCACCGTCAAAAGAAAATTATCAGAAAGCTATAGAGCTCTTAAAATCCAAATATGGGAAGGAAGAATTTTTAATAGAATTCTATGTTCGTGAATTATTGTCTCTAGTTCTAGTAAAAGGGAAAAATATTCTAATTTTGCAACTCTATGCCAAACTAGAAACACAGTTACGTGCTTTAGAATCTTTAGGCATAACTAAAGAATAATATGCAGCGATGCTTTTCCTGTTAGATGAGTCAGCTATTCCAGAAAACATTTTTAAGATCTGGGAAAGACATCGGGTAACTAAAAAGGCTTCGACTAAAAATCCTGATGATTGTTTATGCGAGCTATTTCAATTTTTAAAAACAGAAGTAGAAGGTGAGGAAAGATTAAAACTTAGAAAAGGTTCTTTTAATGATGAAAGAAAATTTCCTTTTAATGGCGAAACAAAAGGTAATTCGAGAATTAACAGCAGAAATAGATATTCCTACGGCTGTTGCTTTAGTTTCAACAGAGAATCCTCGAATTAAAGAACGAGTTTGCATTTTTTGTGATAGAAAAAGTCATAATTCCCAAGACTGTGCTACAGCTGCTGATTCTTCAATTGATGAACGTAATAAAATACTGAAGAAGAAAGTTGTTTGTTTTAAATGTTTAAGAACAGGCCATATGAGTTCAAAATGTCGAGTTTTTGTAAGATGTGCGTTATGTAAAGGTCAACATTATTCTATAATGTGTTCCAAAATTAGAAACTATGAAAATGATAAAACGTCTCAGAATGAAAATGAATCAGAAGTAGTTAAAACTTTATCTATTTCATCTAAGTATTCCGTTTCATATTTACAAACTCTGATTGCACATATTGTTGTTGATAATACAACATATCCAATGAGAGTATTATGTGATTCAGTCTCTTCGAAAAGTTATATTAAAAATTCGATTGCAAAAGAATGTAATTTGAAACTACAGGGCAAGGTAACGTATCACAAGCATTGTTCGGTGGTAAGAGGATTCCGTTCTCAACACATGATATGTACAAAACTAAGTTATCAAGCCTTGATTCTCAAACTGTTTTGTTGAGAATCAAGTTGATGTTATTGGATCTGATCAAATTTGTACTAACGTACACGGATTTAAAAATGAGAAGGTTTATCAAATCCTTAAAAGTAAAGGAATTGAGATAAGTGATTATTTAAAAGATAATCATTATTCGGAAGATATCCAGGTATTATTAGGCGCAGACGCTTGGGCGAAAATTGTAACACCTGAGGTGGTATCTATTGAAAAGAATTTAGTGGCTGTCAGAACTACTTTAGGTTGGACACTCTTAGGTAATAGTTACGATCCAACGTCTATTTTTTACTGTTTACTTTTTTCAATGAAATGCTCTATTGAAACATCAAAATTTTGAAAGTTAGAAACACTAAACATTTCAGATCCTGTTGAAAGAATTACACTGGAAGGAAAAGATACAGAAGTCGTGAAATTTTTCGACAATGCTACCAAACGAAATGAAGCTACAGGTCGTTATGTAGTACGTCTTCCATGGATTGATGGTTGCCCTTCCTTACAATCTAATCTTAAGGCTGCTGAAAAAAGACTCCAGAATACATCGAATAAATTGAGGAAACTAAACAAGTTTAAAAAATATAACGATGTAATTAAAAACTGGTAGAAAATGGGAATAATTGAAATTGTACCGAAAACAAATGCAAATGAAAGGACCCATTATTTGCCACACAGAGCTGTTTTTAAAGAATGTAGTACTATGAAAATTAGGCCAGTATATGATGCATCAAACAAAGATGAAAATGGATCTTCTCTGAACAATGTTATCTTCTGATATAGAAAAGGCATTTCTGCAAATTGAAATTGATCCAGCAGATAGGAGATTTCCTACGCTTCTTGTGGTGGGAAAAAAGAAATATTGGTGAATTTAGGCATTGCAGAGTAGTTTTTGGTGTTTGCTGTTCTCCATTTCTGCTTTCAGCATTCCTAAATAATTTGTTAGAAAATCCACCTGAACATTTACGCAAGATCGCAAGGTGTTTTCGAAGAAATCGAATCACACATTAATGAAGCCACAGAACTGATGTCTACAGCTGGGTTCAACCTTAGAGGTTGGAAAAGTAGTTTAGATTTGAATGAAAGTCCAGAAAATGTGCTCGGTCTTCAGTAGTACCGCCCATCAGATGAATTGGGATGCCGAGTAATATCTTGGTCTGAAGCTCCACAAGACGAATCCTCCTTTCATGCATTCAGAAAGTTTTTGATCCTATAGGAGTTTCTTCACCAGCTCTTCTTATTCCAAAGATTGTTTTGCAGAAGACTTGGAAATTAAAGTCTGACTGGGACGAGGAACTACCAGAAGACATTCAGAAAGAATTCAGTAAATGGTCTACAGAAGTACATTTTTTGATTGACTGACGAATCCCAAGAAGAATTTTTATTAATTCAACAAGATCTTTACACGTCTTCTGAAATCCAAGTAAACTAGCTTATGGTGCCTGTATATTTTTAAGAACGGAAGAACATGAAGAAGTTTACTTGAGTCTTGTCGTAGCAAAATCCCGACTTACCCCATTGAAAGAAATCACTTTACCGAGGTTGGAATTAATGGCCGCACTTCTGGGTGAAGATTATATCAATTGGCTATTAAAAGCTTGAATTGTATAAACACGAGGACTTATTTTGGTCAGACTCTTCAGTGGTTTTAGCATGGCTAAAGAAGCGAAATAATTGGTCTGTTTTTGTAGAAAACCGAGTTAAGGATATTCAAGATTACAGCAAAGAAGGATGTTGGAAACGTATACCAGGGATCTTAAACCCTGCTGATTTACTGTCAAGAGGATGCTGTCCATTTCAACTCCTAAAATCCCAATGGTGGACAGGACCTGAATTTCTGAAGAAACCTCCAGAAACTTGGCCTTCAAATGATCCTGATTTTGATATGAAAGAAATCGATAAAGAACGACGTCGAACTATCATTTCAGCGAAGAATTCAACGGTTGAAACTATTCTAACTAAACTTGCCTCCAGATTTTCGAAATATTCTATGATTGTACGAACTATTGCTTGGATGTTAAGATTCCCACCCGCTTATATGAAAAATGAAAATTCGTTTGGCTGATATATACGCTGAAGAATTCGAGAAAGCCGAAAAAGCTTTATTTTTTCTTACACAAAAGGATGCTTTTGAAGAAGAACGAAAAAAAGTCTGATTTGAAAAATCTTCAGATTTTCGTTGATGAAAATGGAATTTTAAGCATGAAATCTCGAGTTTTAGATTCTTCAGATTTGCTGGAATATACATTCCCTATATTGCTAACTTTCCAAAAATGTAATTTTGGAAAGAATGATCGAGCAAGTACACTTAAAACATAAACATGCTGGAACACAAACACTTCTAATGAATTTATTGAGAATTTGGAATTATATGAACTTTATTGATTTTCATAATCCTTTTTAAATTTTAGATATTTAAGTTATATTGATGTTGCAAGGTGGGGAGAATGTTGGAAAGGAATACATTTATATCGCTTTAGTTCTAGGTTTTCGTATTCTTTGCGTAAAAATAAACACCGTAGTATTTTAAACCCAGCGAAGTGGATTTTTATTTTATCAGGGCCATTTCACCACAGGTGCCTTTATACGGCGCCATTGTCTTGAAAGTATGCTTTCTTTTGCTTTATTATTTAGATTAATAAGCAGTGGCTGTGATAAAATACTTTAAAAAATGTGAATAAACTTGCGTAACTTTTTTTATAACTAGCAGCATTTCACTTTTAGTTTTAAGTTTATACAGACCAAAGCAAAAACAAAAACTGATTTTTAAGAGAAAGAATTGTAATTAGTAACATAAATATTCTATACTCACAAACTAGTTGATGAGAAGTAGAAAATTTAGTATCTTTTGAAAGTTTTTCAAAGGATGAGTATTTTGGGACTGATTCTGGGACCGTGTGACTTTTATTTATGGAGATATTGACATGTTTCTGGGCTTATCATCTACTGCTTCATAGTTGAAGTTCAAGTTCAAGATTCAGAAACAGTCATTAAAACGTTACGATTCATATCTCTGGATTATGTTGGACCTGCTGGACCAGTAATTCAATAAGGGATATTGCTTAGCCAATGATTTTCAAGATAAAGGTTGTGTGTACTTCAGGTAAGTTTGGTTACTTTTACTACTCATTACATTAAGTTACTTATAATTTTGTATTTTAATTAAAATTTCATCAATATTTTTTTTAATTTTTATTAGCATTTTTTGATAGAATATTGCTTTTTTTTAATGTTTTCTATTATTTTGCATATAATGTTCCTAATACTCATATTTTTGTGCTTGGAAATCGGTTACATTGGCATGTACTACTGTTCCGCTCAAATAACTTAATTTCATTTTCTTTTAATAATTTAAATCTATAAACTTACTTGCCACTCAATTACACACTTTCTCTACTTGTTTAATAACATTTAAATATATTGCGTAATTTAATATTTGGTATTTTTACATGTATTAGAGTTTCTAATATTTTTGATTTTCAAAATAGTTTTAACAATAGTGCAGTAATAATACATTTTTGGTACTTTTCTGAATAACTGAATCAGAAATCTTTACATCCTTATAACTATTAATAGAATTTGAAATTTACTAAACAAACTATGACATGATTATTTTTCACCCATTTCCAACCCTCTTGTCACATTAATATTTATTTTTCTATTTTTTTTTTAATTCTCATTGTAAATCCCATAGTACTGGATCTTTTAAGGGCACCACTTTAATTGGAATTACGTATTATTAATATTATCTTACTGTATACTGATTGTCATATTTTACGTAAAAATTGAATTACATATAAAGTATTTTAGTAGAACACTTTGATTTATTAATTTAATTGTAACGGCGGAAGGTTATTCTCCGTTTGCTGTTTTATCGATATATAGTGTTGCGTTGAAGGTTTAACGGTTATTTATTCTTAAGGTTATTTTATCTATATTCAATATTTTTTAACTTGAAATTTATGAGAGAACCAAAATATTCTTCTGGTGGCAACTGATGTCACATGTTTGAAGTATTATCATCTTGGAACAACAAGATAATGGCCTGCTATGTTAACTGCTGTTTTCGAAGCAAAAATATTTGACATGTGTATCATAGCTGGTAATATAAAAGAAGCTACAGCAACTGAAGATTTACCAAAGCACACACTCGCTGTTT